CCTGAACGGCCCTCTGAATGCCAGAAAAGAGGTGTCCCTAGTTCGATCCTCGTGGTGACAATTTTTGCGATTAGATAGCAGAGAGAGCGTAGTGTTGAAGAGGGCACAGCGATGAGAGTCGCATCAATGCGCAAATCAACGGGCAAGGAAGGGTCCCATTTCTCGGGTTCGGGCCGTTTCAAATGGTTTCTTCTTCATCCCTGCTCCACTGACCACCTCTACCTTTTTCCAAAAAGCTACTTTTCATCGTGAAATCTGCCTTTAAAGTATAAGTAGTAGTTGCAGCTAATCAATATTTGAGTGCGCCATACACTCCGATTCCGCTCGAAATCAAAACCGACGAATGCTTACTCGGTATCAAGAATGACATGCGGAAGCTAACAGAAGTTTAAGGCGCAGTGTAAAGGACTAGGTGTGGGTTATCGTCCCCGAAAGTAAAGACAGATGTGGTCAAACACTAGTGGAGGAGCAAACAAATTGCTTACAACCTTTGGCTTCGTATTGTGCTTATAGTATGGGTGGTAGTCTGACCATGAGCACAACTAGAGCAGTGTTCCCATATATCACTGGTCCTCTCAGTTCCTCGACGTACTCACCAAATAAGGAAGAGGGCAGACCTATTCAAATCAGTGAGATCAAGGATAGAAAATGGAGAAACTTGAAACAAACGTATCATCAACGTAGCATCATTCACGCCCATTCAAGGAAAACACGGTCGTGTTCAATACAACACGCTCCGGAAGTTGGATGCACGAAGAGAGAACGACCATGCCGTTCCATCACAACAAAGTCTACACTGTTGAATTCGTAGCGAGTTACGGACGAGTTGAGGTAGGAGAAAATCAATTTTAAATTTCGGCATTCAGCTCTTGCTCTGCTTCCAGGTGCTACTCAATGGAGCTAAGTTCTACGACTTTGCTGAGCGTATACCGTTTTCCGAAGTCAAGAAAGTTGAAATTGACGGAGACGTGCACGTTCACTCGGCCCAGTTTTTCTAAGTGAAGGCAACGCCACCATCGTTTTTACTTTGTATTTTGCAAGAAAGAGGCCATTAAATTCTTATAATGACAAAAATGTTGACTTTGTGTATTCGCTGTGGTGGTTGAACTCAGTGATCTGGATACTTCATCTAAGGCCGAGCTGTTTCAGACGTTTTATTAGTCATCAAAGATTATAAACGACTATTGAGGCGTAAAAAAAAAAAAAAAAAAAAATATCTTTCGTGCTGGAATTCAAAAATTCAAAATATGTCCCTGCCACAAATGTGGTGGCGAAGTGCTGTTCATTTGTCACTTGATGCCGGACCTCTAAAAAATCGTTTTGGCCTCCCCACCTATGGCAGGACCATTTTACTCATCTACTGCATCAAAACGTTTTGACTACCCTTTGAAATCGGAAGCTTGAATTCAGTTTTATCCTGTGATACTTAGCTGACATGTGTCCGCCACACCGACCTGGATTTCTTTCCATGTCACCTTCTGGTTCGAGAGCTTCCGCGACCGAATGTATTGAGCAGAGAACCTGCATACATTATAATTCATAATGACAACCTAAGTAGGCCGCCACTGAATGAATCGTTTAGGTCGTCAAACCTCAAAGATCCACTGAGCCTGCTTAAATGTAGCGATTACGATGAGTGGCTGCACCGTAGGAGTATATGCTCCACTCGAAAGCGTTACGCCCACTAGTTACCGGTGACGTGGGCGAGCTTGTTTGCTGTTGGCTTTTCATTTCGGAGGATCCTTTCCCTTTTAGCGGCTGTATCTTCCAACTTGCCCATGTATTGCCTTATCAATCAAAACACTATGCTTGTTGGCATGATGGCGGCTATCGGGGTTAACACGTCCGAACAACTCGTTCTTTACCGTCGCTCATCCATGGTCGAAAATGAAAGGGCAATCAAAGGGGGGATACTACTTCTGTGAATTTTTGACGAAATTCTCTACTTGGTTTCGCCATTTGCCGATACCATTATGAGCACGCCCCCCAAGTCGTAATTGCTGCCTTAATCATCATGTTGAAAAGATGGCATAGCGAATTCAGCCAAGCATAGCACTAAGCTCTAGTGTCTACTTGACTTGAATACCATCGACACGATAAGGTGAGCGAAACATTTGCCAAATTATCGACAAGTGACTCAGCAGAAACGCGCTAAAAACGTTATCAAAGGTCAAAGTAAATAAAATTGCTGGCGCTCATAAATTTGACGAGATAGCACGAAATTAGCAAAGGGTTGGGGAGTGTAAGGTGATTCATCAGGAATCTCAACGGATTCCAACAATTACATTCGAAAGACAATCTAACACATTCTCTACTAAATTAATTCTCCCTGATGGCTAATGTAATGAGGCGGAATAGTACGTTGGATGAAAGAAAAGATAAACCATTAGGTGATGTGTATTCCTTTTCGGGATGCGCCACGCATTCTACTTTTATTCAGAATCGTAATGGCACGCAAACGCGATTTTTCCTGCACACTCAACGGCGAGAGCCGGTTCAGGTCACTGAAGCTTTTAGACGGAGCTCTGGCACCTAAAGCTGAAGGTGAAAATTTATAACTTTTTTTGATATAACTTTAACTTTCTTGACGTTGTGTGAAGTTAGGGAGTTGAAGCGTAAAGTTAAATCTCCGCTGGCTTGCTCTTTTCTTGAAAGAAAAAACCCGCGATGATTGTGCCTTAGAAGCAAATGGACCTCCAAAATTTTCTGACGTTGAAGACAGCAAAATTCTTTTACAAGGGCGTCTACTCCCATGAAAATGGATGAAGCACAGATCTGGGTAGTCGTGCCAGTAATTGCACGGATTGAATTATTGTATTCAAGAAACTTAGCAACATTTGCATATTGATGTCGAATTCGCAGTTATCAGACTTATGATTTAACCCCAATAAGCCTTCTCTAGCCACTGCTGCAAGCTGTTACACAAACAACCTTCTAGAACTTTATGCGGTTCCGATTTTAAACAATTTCCGCATACAAAATCTTACACTTTAAGTTACGGCTTTAATCGAAATAAAGAAAGAGACTAAAAATTGTAGCCATGAAGCATTCCAATTTGTAGCAGAAGATTCAATGACATCACATAGAATGTCTTGTCTTTTGAACTGTATAGACTTTGACCTGAAACCTATACATGATTTCTTGAGAACTTTTAAAAGCGAAGGGTCAGGATTCAATGTGATTTGATTGTACGGTATCCCACTGAGACCGAAGCAGGAGAGTGCGAAGTAGGACTCTGGCTGTGTGTATCTGAAGCAAGTGAGAAAAGGAAGAATTGGGTCGAAACACAGAAAAACGAGCTTCTTGTTCTTTACTGCGAAGGGCTGTCTACAAAGCAGACAGCGTAATACGAGATGAAGTGAATCACGAAGAGTAGAAGAACATTGATTCGAGAGAGCTCAGCTGGTCAGAGGACGAATTCACGATAAGAACGAAGGTCGAGAAAGGGGGAAATGGCCTAGTTGGGATACAGGCGGACTCCTGATGGTGCGACCAGCGCGAGATTAGCAGACGAAAATTGAGCTAGCCCTCGGCCTTCTCCGGCCCTTTGGGAGCTAGCTATTGTGGTGGGGCGGTTAGCCGGGATCGTACGCCTCTGATCATTCAGCGTTATGTGTTTGTGTGGCGAATGATTGAATTGGCGAAAGAGAGCGAATTGTGAGAAGGACGCGATGAGCGATCATGCGCAAGTCAACGTTAGAAGGGGCCATTTCCCGGGGTTCGAGGCCTTTCAAGGGGTTTTTCTTATCATTTTCCGACCACCTCTACTCTGTGCAAAGGCTAGCTTTTTTCGTAAATTCTGCTTTTAAGCGGAAACCAACCGACAAGAGCGCTTGGGCATTGCAGTAAACTGACGAAGCTCAGATTTTCTTTGCATATCAGACTGTTGTCTGGTCCTCTCTTATCTGTAGCGCTCTCTTGCTTCATACCCTCCTCTCGCGCATAGTCTATTCACTTGCACCAGGCGTTAGGAGAGTGAGCCTTGAACTGCGCGTTTTGAAGTATTTTTTCATCTTTTCGTTATGCCGACCTTTTAGGACAATGACTCTGTTCGTGTGCAAGATCCACACAATGTGTCGTTGGACATGCCTGAATTGTCGAACAGTTCCTGTTCCGGCATTCCAAACGAGAATGCGCAAATTCTCGGTTCAAGTCAACACCAGATGGGCACTCATTGGTTTCCGGGTTTTCCAGACCCATGCCTTTTCTTCACTTTCTGTCTTATTTGGCATTGTGCTCGATGTTGATCGGTATCAAGTTATCAGTACGGTGGCGTCGCTGAGGCAACGTACGAGGTTTCAAGGATTCCCTAAGCTGGGCTGATTTTCTCGTGTACACCCCCTGAATTCTTGCCGGTGGTGTGTCATTAAAATTCTTCGCAATCGCTTAGAATCGCCATCATAGGCAGTTTGACTGAGCCTAAAGCTATGACAATGAGGTAGAGGAGTATAAGGGGATCCTTGTGTTTTCAAGAGTTGTAGATCGAAAAAGCGAAGAAATGAGCAAAATTGAGCAATACTCTGTGTTGTAGTAAACTAAGGGCACGAACTTAGTTCAGGAATTTATCCCTTATACACGGGGTGCAAAGTCCCAGGACGAGACAGATGAGGTAGCATGACTTATTAATGGCTTTGAGGACCGTTCAAGGCTTCCTGACAATTGCTTTCTGTACTGCACTGTAGCAGCTTTTCTATGTGTGATCAGGTTCCATAGAGTTATCTTACTCGCGACAACACCTCATGGAAGAGCTACGTTCGTTTTTGTTTGCACAGCGTTTATATTGGTTTGGAGTTAAATCGTAGCGTTTATTTTTATTGAGCGTATAATTCAGTGGGTAAACCGTATACCAAAGAACGTATATACTTGAAGTTCTTTACTCGCTAACAAGCGACAGTTGGTCGTTATTCATACCAGGTTTGTCGCCCGCTATCGCGCCCACATAGGAGTGATCCGAGTGGAGCGGCATGACGTACTCATTAAACCACTCAATAGTTGAATTGTAGATACGTCATTATGTATCCCTTTCTTTTTCCAAAAGGCGGGGCATGACAGTGCATGTTCTCCCTCACTTTCTCTCTTCCACCCTTCCCTCCCTCTTCTTCTCTCTCCCCCTCCCTTCCAGCCTCTCTTTCTTGCCCCTTCCCTCTACCCTCTACCTTCCCCCCCCCCGCTCATCCGGCTGCCACGGCAGCACCATGTAGAATGAGACTGAGTGTGCTCGATCGGTGTTTATATAGCCGCTGTGGGTTATCATGATCATGACATCAACATCACGAAGTGTTGCCCTTCGTACTCCCTGGTTTTGTGAGCGGTCGGTCCGGACGGACAGAACGACACACACACACCGACAAACCGACACACCAAAGTTCTGGTTTATATAATGAAGTGATTGTAATGAACCCAGCGGTTACGAAGATGATATTCTTCGGTTAATAATAAAAATAAAGAAGAATAGATTAATTAAAGCTTTTGTTTGGAAATTGTGCCGGTGAACCCATGCCTTATTCCCTGAATTTTTGCTCAAATTAACATGTTGTTTCGTACGAGTTAAATAGAGATCCGAAAGAGTATTATATTCTTTACTTTATTAGGCCCCTGTCCACAAAAGTCTTTGCATTTCATGTGTATGGTATGAATCTTCAGAATTTTCTGACTCTCATGTGTGAAATGTTAACCTCAGTCGATGATCTCTTCAGAGATTTCCCTGCCGTGGTATTTCGCAGCGATTATGGCTGAGAAAATCGACTTTGACTGAAAGCATATTTGGCTACTCTTGATTCTAAAACCCAGAAAACGCGTCAGTGGAAGCGATGCGGCAAGAGCCCTACGTCTTGCGATGGACCTCCAGAGTGTCTTTCACGACATGGCAAACATTTGGTTGCCGATGTCCAGAAACTCGAGAAAAAAGCCCAAAGTCGGTCGGCTTGTTACCCTGAGTGACGAGTGTCTTCTGGAGTTGTTTGGAAACAGTCTCTGGTGCAATGCACGGTAACTGACA